TGAGATACTGGCCGGCTAAGTTATAATATGATAATAAGTAAGGGTGACAATCGTTTTGGTTATAACCGGAACCGTTTTGTCAGTTCTCGGTTAATCATTAAGTACTTTGTGCTTATTGTTAATCGCATCGTCTATATTAGACAAAGCAAGGAGAAAGGCCGAAATGGTTGGGTTTGCCGGGTTGGATTGGTAGTGGTCGCCTGATCGGAGGAAAACCCCCCTTTCCCCTGCCGGCTGCCGCTGGATGCCCAAACTGCTGCTGTCGTCTGTCTTCGGTTGTGAAAATACAAAGAGGGCTGAGGAGTAAAGGGATTGGATTAGGTTTTTGTTTAATTGGAATTTCGTTTAAGAATAGAATATATTATTAATGTTTCCACATATAATCAAATAATCGGATGTAGCGTAGCGGTAAAGCTACGCTGTTTAAGCTGAAGGTGCTGGGTTTGATACTTGTGTGGATCATATGTGGGGTATATTTTTTCCAAGTCAAAAAATGACTCATGTCCTGTGACAATGGCAACTAATCTATGTAGTATGATTGGTTAAGATTCTTATCATAGTTGAAAATGACCACGGTTCAAATCCTAGTATGTGTATTTTTTTAAGAATAAATGAGAAACAAATAGATTATTGTGAAGACAAAAATACCCTTCCTACTTTCACTCTCGTTGCAGGAAAATTTGAATGGGGGTGCAGAAAAAATATTCAGCTATCTATATACTTGTAGATTGTAGATTGTTAAATAAATAAATTTTGTAATTACCACCTTACCTTTCATTAAACTAGATTAGTTTGAACCATTAGAATTTAGGATTTTTTTCAAGAAATAACATTGTTTAAAAAATTACAAAAATAGCAATCAATCCAAAAAATTACAAAAAACACCCTTTCTAAAAAACAGCCACCCCACTCAGCGTTTTACACGAAAACCGCTGTGTGGGGCGCGGTTTTCGTGCCAAAACTGCTTGGGTTGGGTGCGGTTTTGTTGACCACAATGGGTAGGGGCGGTTTGGTTCAAAACCGCTGCCCAGCCCACCGGTTTTGGTCCTATTTTTTCGATTATTCCTAATCTAAGTGGAAACTTCAAACAAACGTATCTTTGTGTTCGGGTATCCAATCGTTGCGAAATTTTTTTGATTCCGCATAACTTTTCGAGGTTTTGCAAGCCGATCCAGCCTTCGTCCCGAAAAAATATCGTTTGCTATCCCGAAAGAGCTTTTTTCCGATTCGTCAAACTTTGGACGACCATAACTTTGTGCTCCAAAATCCGAATGTCATGAAAAATATTTCATTTCATATAACTTTTTAAATACAACTACTTTTACTAGGAAGGAATTTTCAAAACATGAATTAATTTTGGATATACAGGATTTTGAGAATAACTTTACCTTCCCTCTTCACAAATCCATGTACATTCCGAAATTATGTCTACTAGCATAAGCTCGCTCGCTATTGCTTCGCGTTGAGCGAGAACTTGATATCTTAAGATTGATAGTTTGAATTTCACCCAAAAGTAAAGAGGTTTTCATCTACAACTCCGTATAGTCGCCGCAGCGATGAACTTTAATAAGGGAGAAAGATCATCGAGCAAATGATTTCTATATTTAATCTTCTCTCTAGTTTATCTTCTTTTGGCTTTGTTTTTTTAAAGTTCATCTTGATTAACTTTTTTATTGATTTTCGGGATTAATAGCAGGTTTGAGAAAGTTCAATTCACTTTGGTCGGGTCGAATTAGGTTGAATACCAATTGGTTTGGGTTCAATTTCATTCTAAAAAAAAAAGAGAAATTAACACAAACACTAAAGTGGATAAAGCTCGCTCATGACCCAAAATTCGGCAACTTCATGTTAAACTCTCTTTGATCAGAGTTTGTAACAAATTCACAACCGACCCGCCAATTACAAAAGAAAATAAAACTCACTCCCGTATGAAAACTTGTAAACATAGGGTTCAATTCGTTTTGATCAGGTTGAATTAGCTAGGTTGGATACCCATAGGTTTGGTTATCAACCAAAATGAAAAGGATAAATAAAACACCACTAAAGTGGATAAACTCACTCCCTACCAAAAACTCTACACACCGAGTTCACTCGCATTGACTGGTTCGAACTGAGTTTTTAACAATTCACACTCGGCTCAACATGTCTTATATAAAATCAGATAAAACTCGCTCTCTATACAAAACTTGTCAGCACCGGGTCCGGGCTCAATTGTCACTCTCAACCAAAAGGAAAAGGAGGAATAAAAAAAATTAAAGCGGACAAAACTCGCTCTCCATAAAAAACTCTTCAATACCGTGTTCAGCTCGCTTTGGCCGGGTTGAATCGAGTTTTGAAGAAATTCACACTCGACCTAACCTACCAATTAACTACAAAAGCATATAAAACTCGCTCTCAATACAAAACGCGTCAATACCATGGGCTTGAGTTCAATTATCATTCTCAACAAAGGATAAAATAGAAATTTAAAAATGCTAAAATCGGGTTCAAAGTCGCTTTGACTTGGACGAATTATGTTGGATACCCATGAGTTTGAGTTTAATTGTCATGCTTAACCAAAACGAAAAAGAAAGATAAGAAAATACTAAAGAATATGCAACTTAGTCCCGATACCAAATTCGGCAACACAAAGCAAATTTGATATGGATTTTCTGTAGTGGTTTTGAAACACAGTGGACGGGTACATTATTGGGCGTATGCAAGGATTGCGCATAATAGATATGGTATGGATGTGGCAAAGGTGGAAGAGGAAAACTTATGATTTCGTCCATAGTGTTTCGAGATGGGTAATTGTTGCAATAGGGAAACCAATGAACAATAGATGAAAACTTAGTAGGCAATTAATATATAAAAACCTTGATGGAAGATGACAACTTATGATTGCTTCGATAGTGTTTCGAGATTGGTAATTGTTGCAATAGGGAAACCATAGGTGGAAGAGAGATAGTGTTTCGAGATGGGTAATTGTTGCCATAGGGAAACCAAAGAACAATAGATGAAAACTTAGTAGACAATTAATACACAAAAACCTAACATTAGAGAACTAATTGACAATAGATGTAGACCCAACAAACAATAGATGAACACATAGGATATAGAGTAAGAGAGTGGGGCAAAGCATAACTTGGAACTTTCCCACTTGCACTTGAAGGAGTGTGAGAGCCACTAATGAATAGTAACTCAAACCTATATATTAATATATTAATTGATGAAGAAAATTGTAGTCCTGAAAAATTTATGCGAAATAAAAAAAAATTCATGACGTTCGGATTTTGGAGCACAAAGTTATGGTTGTCCAAAGTTTGACGAAATCAGAAAAAGCTCGTTCAGGGTAGCAAACGACATTTTTTCGGGACGAAGGTGGAACCGGCTTACAAGATCTCGAAAAGTTATGCGAATCAAAAAAAAATTGCTATGATCAGATACCCGAACACAAAGATACGTTCGTTTGAAGTTCCCACCTAGGTTAGGAATAATCGAAAAAAATATGACCAAATCTGCTAGGTTGGGCAGCCGTTTTGAACCAAACCGCCCCTACCCGCTGCTGTTAAGGATGGCAATCCAACCTGAAACCATGGGTATCCTACCCGATCGTAACCGGTCAACGTGGGTAATTACCCGCTTTGACGGGTTAGGGCCAGGTACGGGTAATACATGGTTGTAAAAATGCGGGTAGGGTACGGGTATGGTAATTGCTAATACCCACCCCATTATGCCCACCCCGCTAACTAAAGGGTAGAAGGAAGAACAAATATTGAAACTAGAACAAATATGATGTATTGTGCTTTTATTTGTTTGGATTGTAGAAGCAAGAACAACTATTATGTGTTTTCGGTTTTTATTTATGTGAATTGTTGTAGCTAGAACAGTTACAAGTATTGTCAATTTTTAATGGACAACAGTATGTATATGTCATTTTTAATGGCAAAAAGTGCGTCCTTTTCACCTTGTCACCTTGGGTGTACTTATTCTTCAAGTCATTCATCTCAGAAAATCAACCTACATATAATCAAAACCCTCTTTCCCACGAATTATTAAAAGAGAAACAAAAAAAAATGAAAACTAATGAGATATATAGTTCAGACTTTTGTTTACCTGCATGGTATCTTCTCTCGGCTTTAGCAAATCCATTCACAGCAATCTCTATCTCTGATTCAGAACAGTCATAGAGACCGCCCATCGTAAGCTGCCTGAGGCACTCGGTATCAGTCATCATTTTATCATATTGTTTCATTGACAAACTCTTCATTTTCACGCATCGTAAGCTGCCTGAGGCACTCGGTATCAGTCATCATTTTATCATATTGTTTCATTGACAAACTCTTCATTTTCACGCGAAGAACCCACTCCTTCATCATCCAAGGAAGGACATTAAAGTCTCCTTTCACGTATTGCTCCATCAGTTTCTTCAAATCTAAATACCATCATAAACTTTGAATTGGAAAGATAAAAAATGAAAGATCCCCAATTTCTGTTTAGACGAATCATCAGCTAGAGATGTAAAGCAAAGTAAGAAAGGACTTGTGATGGTTCTTTACCAAATTCATTGTCCCCGATAGATAGCTTCCGATTAGCACAAGAACCGCCTACGTAGAGCAGGACACTCAGTCAACAAAGGAGAAATATATGTATAAGTTCATATTTTAGGATTCGTACTCGTGGTTACCCGAATACACGTGGTTATCTGGTGGGTAGGGTATGGTTATGTCATTTCCACATCCGGTGGTTATTTAATCGGGTATTTTAGGAGGCTCTACCCGGCAGGTTAGGAGTTGGTATAGGGTGAACCCGCACCTAACCCTACCCATTGTCATCCCTAGCTACTGTCAACAGAACCGGCCCTAAACCAAGCAGTTTTGATCGAAAATCGTACCCCCAACCAGCGATTTTTGAGAAAGGGTGTTATTTTTGGAATTTTCCCGAGATTAGGTGCTATTTTTGTAAAAAAAAAAAAATTAATAGTATTATTTCTAGAAAAAATCCTAAAATTTAATGAGACTCCATGACTGAGATCATGACTACTGCCTACTGGACCTCCTTTGTCACCTAATCTTAGCCCAATTGAGCAATAGTTTAACCCACGGTTTGTCGGCGAGACATATAACCACGGCATCACTTGTCATTACAAAAACCATAAAACTGACAAGGACCCGCACCGGCAGCAAGCTACCTGTATTACCCAGTAGCTGAAGCTTCCTTTCTCGTCCTCGGTTTTAACCTTTACACTGACAGAATCCCGACAGTAGAAGATGCAGAGGACAGAAGAAGATTCCTCCCCAAATTCACGGTCTTTAATGTCCAAAAGCTGCTTGCTTCTCTAAAAACCTTCCGTGGCATAAACATGTGACTCAAAAAGATTCCTCTGCTCCTATTACAATAAACAAAATTTCTGTTGCAGCCTCTACATACACACACGCACGACTACATACTCTACATACATGATTTGCCCCCATTCACCATCTAATCCTAACACAGTCAGGATTACCACAGCACAAATGGGGATTCGGGGGACTTTTTCTGCATATGCTGCGGCCAAAATCAGCCATTGCCCATTGGCATGACAGCAGAGCCTCTGAATGAATGAAGAATCAAACACAATAACACATACAAGATGATACACAACTCGGAATCTGGGTTCTCCACAAATATCCTTACCGATCATCGAGTTCTGGTTTTTTCGATAAAGATCTGTTTGTTTGAGCTCCACTCTCGTATCCGCTGCTGTCACCTGACTCCATCACCTGGCTATCGGTTCTGAAACTGTCTCGATTGGGGCGGCTTTGATCCTTTCCAGTTCGACGATCCTGAATTAGAGACATGCCTTGGGTTAGACTGTTACATTATGAGTACTGTACTCTACCAAATCCTACTTTTCCAAGTAATTTTTGCATCTTTGGTTCTTGACAGAAATCTACATGCTTACATCTCGGAATGGGAATTCATCAGCTTCCAGCATATGGATCACATGCCCGATCTTCGGCCTTTTCTGAGCATTTGGATCCACGCACCTTAGAGCTACTAAAAGGGCACGCTTCAATGCTCTTGAAGACGGCTTCTTGGGCAATCTAGGATCCAGGACGCCCTCTGCATTCCTATTCGTCACCATCGTTTTAAGCCACTCAACTAGGTTCACCTGAAACACATTAATCCCCCTAGTTAATGCCATTTACAGCAACAATCAATCAAATCTAGTTGAATGAAAAACTAATTAACCTCTCCTGGCGGGCGACTGTAATCAACCGGGTTCCTTCCAGATATGACTTCCATGAGAAGGATTCCAAAACTGTACACATCGCTTCTCTCGTTCAACATCCCTGTACTAGCATACTCCGGAGCCACATACCTGGGGGAGAATAACATAAACCTGATTACACTAACCCACAATGGAGAGGACAAAAGAAAGTTGTGGAGCAAGAGAATAGCGAGGATGCACTAGACTAACCCGAATGTCCCCATTACTCGAGTCGTCACATAACTGCTCTCCGATCCCAGAAGCTTTGCCAAACCGAAGTCGGAAACTTTCGGATTCCACTGCTTATCGAGCAAAATGTTGCTCGATTTTATATCGCGATGAACCACCTTTGGCTCGAGCCCCTCGTGCAAGTATGTTAGCCTAGGGTACACAAAGTTCTTAGAATTTGACTAGAAAAGAGAAACATCATGTTGAAAATCAGTCAATTTTATTTACCCTTTGGCAGTCCCAGTGATTATATTCATGCGAATCTCCCATGTGAGAGGGCTGCAAGGGCCAACATCACCATGAAGCCATTGCTCCAAGTTGCCATTATCAACATACTCATAAACAAGCATCCTAAACAAACACCAAAAGAAGAGAACACGCCAATTGATCACCTTAAGACAGAATCCTGATTTTCAGCCATGAAATTGAGAGTTCATTGACTTACCTATGAGCACCTTCAGCACAATAACCTAGCAACCTCACCAAATTCTTATGCCGCACCCTTCCAATTGCTTCCACTTCAACTTTAAACTCCTTCTCGGCTTGACCCCTAAAGGAACACCCAAAAAGCCACAAACTTTAAGCATCCAGAACAAAAAAACAAGGTAGGAAAAACTTAAACCAGACAATCCCCTCCTCCTTCTGCATGCAGATGAAAAGGGCACTCCTGATTTGCACTAAAGTTCCCAACTTTACCTGTTGTTGAGCAGATTCTTGACTGCGACAGTGGTTTTATCTTCAAAAACTCCACGGTAAACAATCCCATACCCACCTTCCCCAATCACATTCTCGTCGGCAAATTCATTAGTAGACAACTCCAGCTCCCTCAGAGTATACCAATGTCCCCAACCCAAATGTGAAACCTCCGGCACCGTCATCGCACCCTGGTCGCCGGACCTGGGACCCGACCGGGCCTCCCCGCTCCCGTGACCCGACCCGTAAGAAATCCGGTGGTCCTTCCCAATCTCGAACTGAATTCTGTTGCGGGAGTCAGAGGAAACAGAGCCCTGCTGCTGTTGCTGATACGGAGACGGGTTTGGATCCGGGTCGGGCTTCGGATTCAACCCGGGAGGAGGAGGATGAGGAGAAGGGGCCGGGTCGACCCGGATCTCGGTTATCTCCTTGGAGACATTTGGGATAATCTGGTTGTTGATGGGTGAGGACTTAAATTGAGAAACAGAGGAAGAGAGACCATTACTACTAGTATTAGCGTTGTTGGTTCTTCTGTTGCGCTTTGATGTGAACCAGAGCGAGATTAGGAAGAGGAAAACAACTATGGCGGCTCCCACGCAGATACCCACCACGACCCACAATCGCAAACCGAAGATTGAAGTCTTCTTCGATAGCTCATTGTTCAGAAACGAACCGCTCGACATTTTACTCTGTTTTTCCCCCCTTCCTTTTCTTCAACCTCTGTCTTCTCTTCAGACAGAAATTTCTGCCAAGAAAATGGAAGGGAGGGGAAGGCAAAAGAGACAGAAAGTGGGCGTGTTGCAGAACTGAGACACTGATTGAAAAGAAAGCGTTGTTTGTGTACAGAATGAAGTAGGTGGGCCGCTCTGTGAAGGAGAGGGAGCAAGCTGGTGTGAATGGGACCTTGTGGACTATGGTAGTGATTGAAAATTAAAATGGATTCTTATCATGAGAAGAAGAAGAAGAAAGCAAAGAATTGATTACGAAATGGTTGAATCTTGTTAGTCATTAAGACACTAATGCTGGCAGTCGGCTACTGTAATTAATGGGGAATGGAAGGAATCTCAAGCGACCACTTGGATATTGATTGTGAATTTAATGGTGTGATTAAGGAAGGGAATTGATAAAGGTCGTCCTTAAAATTACTATTGATCGTCCTAAAAAATAACAAAGTTACACTTTTAACCTTTTGACATTTTTAGCAAACAAACATCACTTTAACTAAAAAAAATGAAAAACACTCAATTTCCCACACTCTCGAATTCATCGTTGACATTCTCGAGTCGTAATCGTTGAGAATACGTCCGAATCATGAGTAGCGACTCCGACGAGGTAAAAATTTCCAAAACCCCTCAACCGAAGCCAATTTTCGGTTGTACCATGGCTCAACCTAAGGCAATTTTCGGTTGTACCATGGACCAACCGAAAATTGGCTTCGGTTGAGCCATGGTGCAACCGAAGGTAATTTTCGGTTGGTCCATGGTACAACCGAAAATTGCCTTAGGTTGAGCCATGGTACAACCGAAAATTGGCTTCGGTTGAGGGTTTTTGGGTTTTTTTGGATTTGTTTGGTTTATATCAATAATTTTCTATTCTTTTACTACGATTTATGATTCGGTCCATAAGATAATTTGTTGAATTTTGGTTTATATATTTTTTTAGATTTATGGAAGGGGAGGAGTTTTTTGTTTTGTGTTTGATTTTGAAATTCAAAATGGGCAATTTGGTAAATTACATATTAAGTTAGGACGATGGTTAGTAATTTTTAGGACGACCTTTAACCATTCAGTTAAGGAATTGGGTTTGATTGTCTTGTTCAGTGGGCCGCTCTTTGGGGATCTGGAGCTGGTGGTGGCTTCTTTCTTTGGTATTTTAGAAGAAGATTTTTGGCTTTAGGGTAGGGTTTGGTTTTGACGTTGAATTTTGCTTTTTGGGATGCGTCTTTGGGGCCTTGTTTGTATATTGTAGTGGGGAAGAGGATATCAATGGTGTCTATGGTGGAAGGACGCGGCAAAAGCTAATTCATGATTAAGATGAGAATCGTATAAATGGATTAAGAAGTTAGGGAATTAGTTGCTTTTTGGCTTTTGTCTCAAACTCATTTGGTCTGACATGGTGGAGGTCATTTATATATCATAATGTTTAGTAAAAGGAATCGGTACATGTTTAATATATGATTTTCGGTGTTTTGGATTATGATTTTCGGTGTTTTTGTGACAAATTAAATTTATTTGTGCGAATTTAGTATAAGAGAGCTAAATAATCTTTACTTAACATTTTGCTTAAACTTGATTGAGTTACTCATAAGTGATGTTAAGAACTACTTGATCTCAACAAGTTGAATTGTTCAACATGATCAAAAACAGTCTAGGAGGTTGAAGTTTATATAGGCTCGCTATACTACCTTCTTCATTCCACGATTACTATTAATGATGAATTCATGAGAATTGGAACATGATTCGTCCAAGATACTCTAATACCAATTTAGAGCTAGTTGTTCTCGACAACTTGTCTGATCAGAAAAATGTCTCAATATAAATCTTATAACATCATTTTCTTACAGGCGGGATGGTCTCTTAACTTCAAAAATATAGTCTAAGAATAATCATAAGTTACTTGCGAATTTTATAAACAAATGGATTGATAATTCATTTACCTCCACATACTTGGCATTTGAAGTATGAATGCCTTATTATTAATACTCCACTTAATATAAAAATAAGCATTGCTTATAGTCATAGAGGTCAATATGTAGGTGTAGAAATATCAAGTTTGGACAACCGACATGAACATTACGCGCTAATCATGATTAAAAAACAATTTACTCGTTAAGAGTTTAACACAATTACGCATATGTTTTGATGATCTTGAGGTTTTGTGGGGGATTCTTCGGCAGCGGCAAAGCTGACAGAGCCATTAACTTAAACCACAGACAAGATGTCCGCAATTAATTCCACATGTGAGTTGTGACTGACATTTGCGATCATATGTTACACAATGAGAACATATGCCAGCAAAGGTGGCGAACCATCAATATATATGGGCCGTCTTGTTTGTTGTCTTCTGGGCCCAATCGTCGATACATCACTATGTATCCATATCCAACAAAGGCCCTTCCGTGTTCCAAGTGTAAGAGGGTCCATTTTTTATGTTGGCGACTTTGACCCACTAGCAAGGAAATGGTTGGACTTTATAGTTCCTACATTCCATGATTGATTCGGAGACGGCTGACGTAGAGTTGGCACATGTAGAGATTGTAACCCGCTCGTTGGGAAGATCCATTCATTTCATTTCCAATATTAAGAGAGGTTTCAAAAAAGTGTCAAAGATTCTAACCCGCTCGTTGGGAAGATCGAGAGTCAAAACCAACATTACGAGTGATCCAATCTTGTTTTCATTGTGTTTTGCTAGGCGGCGAAAAACACGAGACAATGGATTGATAGTGTAGTGCCATCATGGCCGAATGTTCAGGCTGACCTTCGATGACCATGTAGTATGACGATCAAAGTAATCGATTTTCAATTCTGATTCTTGTCCTATCTCAATTCCTACAGTGTTGCCCGCAATTTCTTGTCTACATCAAGCTAACTACACTATGATATTTCTCGTTTCACATATATTTATTATAAAAAATTTCATGGCTAACATATACAATCATCCTATTAGTACGAATAGTTTGTTGACCTAGTTAAGAAAGAGGCAAATACACTTTCGTCCTACCTTTAATCCAACTACACTAATTACATATTTTTTCCTTAGGATTATACTAGCAAATAACCACAGATTTCTCACTTGGGTTAAAGCCGATAAATATGGAAGCTAGAATAACAAAAGAAGTGGAATGAAAAATCAATCAAATATAACGAAATCATAATCTGAAAATTTTGGAACAACTCTAGCTCCACCAACCGTTAAAAAAACAAGGGCGTTCTACCACTCATAGCAAAGGAAAAACACATAGTTACAAGAGCTAGGATTTAACCAATAGAATCTTCTTTGTCTAGATATTATATATCAGACACAGAACATAACACTCAAAATTAATCACCCCACATTTGCATGTCTATATTATGAATGAAACTTCAGCATCTACAAACCAACACTACTGCATCTCATCCTTTTGCCCCCTATCTAGGTTTATATAGTATAGCACGTCAATCCTTTGCGGGACTTGATCCCTTGCTTGAAGATCGAGCTAGCTTGAATTCCCATCCTCAACACGATAACAACCACAAGTTCATCTCTCCAGCTGCGAGCTTGAACGTATCTTCCACCGACAACGACGACTCTGGAAACTGCCCGCAGCTACCTCCACCTGCCTACAAAATTTCAAACACAAAATCCAGCCCACGTAGATTCAGATGTTAGAACCTGAAGATCTTATATCACATACTAACTAGCTATATATTTATATATAGTGACTTCTACGATATTCTATGTATTTCTAATTAATGTGCATGTTGTCGTGACTGTTTCAATGGATCGAACAATAGAAGGCATCGACAGAACAAAAAAAATGAAATCAAGAAAGGAAACAAGACACACGATGTGTGTAATTAAGTTAGTTCATTGACAGCGAGACCTCATGACTTCCATCCGTCACCAGATAGTCTGATTCAAATCGTATCAACACATGCAGTACTCACATGGGCGTGAATCATGTAGGTGCAACGATGGTGGCCCGAGGAGATATGAGCAGAGACAACATCCAAGCCGTGCTTCTCCAGTATATGCAAGATGGTAGCAAGCAGCCCTTGCTTCTTCGCCGAACAAATACAGATTTGGGCATCTTCCCCCCACATGTTGAGCACCACGTTGGGAGAAAACCACGTCTGGAAACCTGACGGTGGAGTACTTGTAGTGATCATCGACGGCGGAGGGAAGGGCTTCGACGGCCCTTGAGAAGCCATGAATGCTTCCCTCGTACAAGATTGATCGGCTGCTACTGCAAATGGTAGTTGTGGTGTTGCGGCTTGTGATGTGGTGATCACTGAAACTGCAGACGGCTCGCTGTCGAGGTTTAGGAGTCCTTGGAGTTTTTCGAGCTTCTGCTTCTCGAGGGCTTGGAGGGTTTGGTGGAGGGTCTTGATGTAGCTTATTGCCTCGTCCACAATGGTCGACTTGTCCGCCTGTGGAAAAAAAAAGTAGAGTATGTGAAATTTTGCCAAAAAGGTGACAGTTGTGAGGATTTGGAAAATGTAAAAGAATACATAAATTTATGTGGTTCACTAACACAATTTGTGTTGGTTAATTTGTGTACAGTAAGGACCAATTTCGCTATAACTAGAAGATACAAATTACATTTGAGAAGGTGTTTATATCACCTTGTTCATACGACCTACCCTTAATCCAACCTGTAAAGTAAAGGTTACAGACCAGATAGCACCCCATGACTTTCTATCGACGACAAATAATTCAAATCGTAGCAACAATGAACTTTTTTGGTGTACACCATACCAGAAAAGTTATATACGATAGTAGGGTTATTTTATATTAAAACTATGATTGAATCGTGAATGATCCGTTCATACCACTAAAATCATCTACTGTTTGAAGTCCAATATCCAATATTTTCGGTCCAAACAGCCTCTATGATAAAATTTCTAAAAGACATTGTTTTTTTCCTTTTGAAGACAGTCACAGTCACTTTCAATTCATCGGAGTCGCGACCCTGCAGACTGTAGGGCTGGCTATTTGGTCCCGGACTGTTTGGTTTTACCCAAAACCGGACCGTATAACCCGGACCAGGACCGGACCGGGACCAGACTGGGACCGGACCGGGACCAGACTGGGACCGGATAGCAAACAATGCAATCTCATATTCGGGCTTAGGTTTGAGGTAAAAAATCGGATAAAGACCGAATAAGAGACCCCCAACACCTAAAATCAAGATAAAATTGGGA